CTGATTTCATTTTTTCCAGATCCTCTTTTGTTGCCAGTTCAGAGAGTCCAGGTGGTTGAGTATGAGATTGTTCCATCTCTTTTCCCTTTTGGGTTGCTTTAGGTGATCTGGAAGTCCTGTTTTGAGACTTGTTTACGTGTCTTCTCATTTCAATTTCGGGTTGGGGGTAGGGATGTGTGTTGCTGGCGCTCACTTGACTCACCTTCTTGGCACTTGGGGCGGTGGTATGGCAGCCTGGAAGGCTCCTCCTGGGCACTAGGGGCAGCTCTGCTCCTCTGCGCTGGGGGCGGTGGTGGGGATGGTTGAGGATTAAATTAATTAGTGAATTTAAATTGCTGAGCAGAATGCCTGAGGTAAATATGTATGAGCCGCTATTTTTATTACTTGCAGTTTTGCTTTTTCACAAGCATTTATCATGGCTTTTCACAATTCCGGACTTAATTTATATTGTCGTGTGTGTTGCCTTCTCTTAACTATAGCAGTTTGAGAACAGGACATCATGGTTTATATAGTATTGATCATGTAGTGGATGCTAAAGTAGATTATCAATTTGTTTCAGTGAAGTAATTCATCTAATTAAATAAGCATTTATTCAACTGCTAGTTAGGTACTACCTCATGCTCTCAAAATATAAAGGTAAATAATATGAAATCATAGTTGGCTGGGTAAATCAGAAGTATAGGCAATTAGTTATTTAAAATGCCTGGCACCCTTTGCTAACATAAAGTGGGGGTACTAGCTGAGCCCAGATCTCTCTCTTAATGTTTTTCTTTCTGTGTTGAGCAAACTTAGAGGAGCCGAATGTGTTACCTACCTCAAAGTGAATATATTATCTACATAGAAATTGACATTATAGGAACTTCTCATGAAACTGTGGGAATTAAGATTAATCATGGTGGCATACTTAGCACAAACCTGGCATGTATGATGTGTCACATAACTTCTAGGATGAGCATAGGAAAGTGCTAACATTTGACTATGTCAGTAATAGTGCTTGAAATGGCAATGATAATTTATGTGGGCTTTTAGTTTTTTAAATTACAACAAATATTTGCAGAGAAGTAATTTTTCTCTCCTGAGTGGCCTTTATGCTACAGATTTTGATGAAGCAGTATGTGATGATTTTTTACTTTTATGATTTTTTTCAGTCACCTTGGAATGTATTTTATCCTGTACTGCTGAGATTTTAGCTTCCTGAGTTCACTGTTTAAAAATTTCTAGGTTACATAGAGGAATTTAGTTCCCATCCTAGCTGATCTACTTTTCTTATAAAATTGTATGCACATCTGATAGTGTAGCTTTGACAGAAGGTGTTAAAACAGTGATGATTATGCATGGATGTGAAAGACCCTTCAAGAGGAACGATATACTTAACCTTTGCTTATGTGTTTCGGTAAGGAAAACAACCCCCACACATACCCAGTATGCCTCTGTTTTTTAAATTGGCTTAATTGGATGCTCTAGTACACTCACAGGTGGTAGCCCTGGTGTGAACCTGACCCCCTACTTCTTTGAACAGAAGGATAGAAAAGCAAGTGGATGATTTAAGCAAGCTCATAGCATAGGAAGGGCTGTGTGGAGGTTTCCAGCTCGCTTTTCTCATACAGAGCTCCCTACTGCAGGCTAAGTGGCCCCCTCTCTTTCCCATACTTTTTCCCCCTCTTGCCTTCATTTTTTTCTTTATCTTCTCCTTTCTACTCTTTGCAGAGCTGTCTGTATCAGTGCAGAACCCTAGGTAGTAATAGGTAGGTCTAGATACCTCTTTCCACACCTAAAGATGCTGCCTTGCCCTTACCTATAAAGCAAATATTCAAAAAGGGCCAAGTCCCTACAGTACAGATGAGATTACACTTTAGCTTTTCCTTTACTTCTTCAAAATTGTGTACACTTTGTAATAGCATAGGAAAGTTTTGTTATTGAAGCATTAAGTGCCAAATTATTACCTTAAATGTAGCAGGTCCTACAAAAGCTATTGTGTTAGTCTGTTTTCCCTTACTATGATGAAATACCCGAGGCTGGTAATTTGTAAAGAAATTTATTTATCTCAGAGTTCTGGAGGTTCAAGGTTATAGTAATAGTGTTGGCTCTAGGGAGGACCCCATGACAGATGGCATCATGGCAAGAACAGATATGAGAGGCTGAGATCACATTCCATGACAGTAAGCCAGTGCCTACAGAGGAGCCTAGCTTGCTTTTCTAACCATAGCCCTCTCCTAGGACCTAACTTACTGGCCCATGAGCAGTACCTTAATTCCTTACAAAGTCAGACCCCTTCTGACATCCCACTAGGTTCCACCCCTCAAAGATCCACCACCTCCCAACATTGCCACATGTGGTACCAAGGTTCCAGTAATGGAACCCTTAGGGGAAATATTCAAACAATCTCCAAACCATACCAGAAGGTCTGGAGGAGAAAGAAGGATAAAGTCTACCATGACCATCGATTTTGGACAGATTCTCTATCTGTCTGAGAAACAGCTTTATTTGTTGTTTTTATACATTTCCATGCCAAACTAGCTGATGGTCAGGAGTCTGAGCCTCTTTTCCTTAAAATATGGTCAGTGGTCAGGGCTTCTGCTTCTCTGCTTTACAACATTTGGTTCTTTAAGTATTGTGTTGTAGTGCTTAGATTATAAAAGACTTACCTGTTTGGCCCTGTTTGATCAGTTCTCCGCCAACTTTAATACCCTCCTTTCACAAAACATCCTTATACAGACCTGACTTTTTAAAAAAAGCCTGAGGTTACCTAACTATACCATTTGCTTTTTATTGTTCTAGTCCCTATTTAGAAGACTGTAACCCTTATCTACCTGTCCACTTAGTCTGAATCTACTGATCACATCCTCTAGGCAACTAACCTGTCTTCTTCCCTCCTCTCTTTCTACACCCACCTTCTCTTTCCACTCTGCCTCTCTCTTTCCCCCTTTCCCATCACCTGCTTACCTTCTGCCTTCCCACTTCTGGTTTCCTTTTCCCATGATTTTTCTATGTTAAAAAACTTTCTGATGGGGGGAATATATTGGAAAATGCCAACATGAAATCGGATTATGGTATAATGGTTGACTTTGTATAATGATAGTTACTTATGTATATTACACATATAAAGTTTTTACCTTAGGAAACTGTGTTTTCTTGAGTGAAGAATGTGGGATAGATTGCTATTGTGCTAAGGTAATTAAGTAGCATTTGGGTATTTTCTGCCCAGTAATTTTACTACATCAGGAAAATTACTATGCCTGCTCCAAGGTACATTTGTAAATTTAAGGCCCATTAGCTAGAAGATGGAAGAGATGAAAAGATTTCAGTTGTAAGATATTATACAAGAAGACTTTCTACATTATTGCTTGCTCTCTGTTTCTTAAAGAGACTATATTTTTACTGTTTACTTGGGGTATGAAAATTAGTTTGTACCTTTTCAGTGCCCAGATAACTTCCAGATAGAAAAATCTAAGCAATATCATGTCAGTCTCCCTTGGGGAAAAAGGTCTTGCCAGTTTTTAAAATGCCAGTGTATCTTATGTTTGTAAAAAAATTTATGTAGTATTATCCATTTAATGTTCTTGTTTATTAAAACTTTTTAAATCTTGATGATTATAGTCTATTTTGTGTCTGTTTATACCCTCAATTTACACATTTTTGAAATTATCAGACTACTCAGGCATTGCTATTAAATATCTGTAATCTTTACTTGCTAGGTAGGACTAAACTGAGAAGAGGAGATAACTCCTTAATTGGGTTCTGACAAGGCTGTTTGAGAAAATAACTCAAGATGGTAAAGAGCAGTGGCTGATGTCAAAGTCATTGAAAATAAGCTGTGGAATCAGTCATATCCTAAATTCACAAGTATGAATGTTCAGATAAATATATTTTGAAGTCTTATGCATCCTACAAAGAGTCTCTGTTTAGCCATTTCGTTTATAATAAAGTTCCTTAAGTGACAATTTGAGGTGGCTATTAAAAATCATATATAATATATAAATGCTACAGAGATTGTCAGCTTTGGAAATTTTAGTGTGTGTTCCAGAACGATTAGAGACAGTTCATAGTACAAATGGAGACCAAACCCTGTTTTATTTGTTTGTAAGTTCAAGCAGAGAGCTTTCCAAGGCTTTTTCAGCCTTTGCTGGCTGTTGATAGTCTCTAGGTTCCATGGCTTGTGGCCGAAATTTTAGAGCTTCATCTACACACTGAGGGGACACCTGGGATGCAGGAAACCAAAATTGCAGCTAGGAAAAGATTCTTCCTCAGAGACTACACTAGGAACCACTGTTTCCAACACCTTGACTTTGGGTTTCTGGCCTCCAGAACTGTAAGAGATTAAATTCCTCTTGTTTCATACACACAGTCTATGGTAATTTGTTATAGCACTGCTAGGAAGTGAATCTGTATCCAGCATGTTAAGATCCATTAATGTTTTGTGATAAGTGCATGAGTGTTTAATTATTGATGTTTTCACTTTTTAATATTGCCTTTAAAAATATTTAAAAGCAAACCCCCACTAATTTCACTGTCTTCTACAATTACTTTTTATATGAACCTTATAAATAATGTGGATGTGTGCAAAATTGGCAAAATGAATAGTGCTTCACAATTTACACATAGAATCATAGCTAGTGCTTGTTGGAAAGCCCCTGTAGCATATTTATTTCCTGTAGTGAGTTAAGAGTTTTGAATACTTTTTTTTAAATTAAATTCTTTTATTGGTACATT